TATCCCTAGTTTTGGTGTGCATCCAAATCGCATGAGATCCTGTATCGAATGTGTATCCCTAGTTTGGGCGTGCGTCCCAATCGTAGCGTTATTTCAGTTATATCGTATCTGAACCCGTATCCAAAAAACGTAAAATAATTCTTTCCTGTTTTAGATACCTGTGGCTGGTTTCGCACTTCAAAACCACAGTTGCAGACCTGGTTGAAAAAAGAGTGCTTCGCACATCTTCGATAATGCAAAACCTTGCTTTCATCGATGAACAACACCCTTTGCCAGGTCTTCTTCATCCTGTACATCATCGAGCTTCTTTCTTTATACAAAACTGAAAGTTTTTGAAATATTTTAGAAACTTTTGAAAACTTTTTTTTTCAACGTTTTGTGAGAAAAAAAAGCCTTTTTGCCTAGCATATATAGAAAACAATTGTTTGTTTGTATTTGTATTTGTCTGTCTTTGTCTGGATTTGTCTCTATTTGTCCGGATTTGTCTATTATTGTCATTGTCCCTTTTTAACGTTTTTTGTCACTATGTGTCTTTGTTTGCCAGTTTTTGTCAATTTTTGTGCCATGACTGTCGAAAAAGCCCTGTGGATCTAAACCTTGTGCTTCTGGATCGGTGCAAATGGTCAGAATTAAGAATTGGCCCATCCGACCCGCCGTGTACGCTACTTCGAGCCTTCAAGCTGGAGTCAGCCCTGAGCCTGATACCGGTTGGAGCCTCGCCGACGTCCTCATGCTTTTCGCCGGGTTTGCGCTGAGTTTCGGTGGAAGGGGTTAGGGGTAGCACGTTGGCCTGCTTGGACTGTGCCAAAGCCCACTGACGAGTTGTGCCTGATCTGGTTCCAGGAGTGCGCTGGCATTGCTGGAATCGATGAGGCTGCGGTGAATGATGAGGTTATTTTCTTTGATGTGGGTTTACTTCGATCGCGGCACGTGCACAGCATGCAACAGTGCAGGGGACACTTGTAACCAGATTTGTATTTAGCACTTTGGGTGGTGAAGAAAATCGAGACCCAAGGCTGCAGCACAACTGCAGCCGCGCTACCTCTTGTTTGGTACTCCATGACCGCACCATTGCAAGAACCATTGTCCAAGCCATGTACGATTCGAAGGTTGTAGTTTAGAACCCAAAGAGGTGATTGTTGTATGCTGTCTGTTGTATGGCATGAATCGTGTCTAGAGCAAACGAGGGGGTGCGCAACAACTGGCCTTCCGAACGATCAGAGCCTTTAGCCTGAGACGCATCTTTACCTTGCGAACCCAAGTAGCAGCTGACTTGTCGAGCGGTTGAAGGATTTAAGCAAAACTCGAAACAACGTGTTGCTATTAAAGCTGGCTCGGGGAGACCTTCAATGCGGCGTTATGCTGTGAACTGGCTAGTCTCCTAAATGCTGATTTCCCACACCCGTAAAAAATCGCCTTGATCGACTATGGGGTTTTTATAGAACGGGACAGTATTTTCCGTCGATGATGCTGGCTTCACTGTTGTTCATTCGTTGCTTCTCCTTCGGACCTACGCTATTCCGCGATGGATGGCCGTGTCTTGAGGGTTGGGGGATTCTCACAACTTGGAGTCGTGCACAGACTTCAAACGTAGTCTCTGGCAGCCATTCTTTGTGCTGATAGTGGTAGCAGTAATCCAGGCGAAACCGACGAAAACAGAAGTAAGTATGCCCACCGGTCCGTATCACAGTCGCGCACGGTTTTCTCCCCTGTGGCTCTGTCGCTTCTCTGATAGCACGCGCCGTAAACCTTTGTGGCCAGGCGATCGACAATTCGAGCAAACGCCACCTGCCGGATCCTCAGCACATTGACTCCTGCAGCAGGGTTTGTAGGTAATAATTTAGCAACAACAATAACAATAAATAGAATGACTAGTGTATCATTGTTGTTATATATTGTTATTATATGTATATTCACATTTGTCATCTATATATATACACAGACATATACACACATAGACATACATATTCTATATATATATATATATGTATACAGATTTTTGTTTATTTGCTTTTTGATTGATTGATTGCAAGCAGCGTTGCTAAGCCTCTCCCCCCTCCCTCCCCAATGCTATGGTATGCATGGAACTGTCCGCCGCAATACCCACTGCTGGTGTGGGTGTGTCGGGGTTTGGTAAGCAACGGTTGGCATTCTTGAGATGCCGCCATGATATCGAGATCCCGAGCCCACAGCAGTTGGAAGGATTCCAGGCCAAAGGTAGGTTCTTCGCGTGCCTCCAGACCGCACCATTAGGGTGGGGGTACCCTACATACATACATACATACATACATACATACATGCATACAGGCATACCGGCATACATGCGCACATACATACATGCGCACATACACACTTGCTTACATGCATGCTTACATGCATAGTAGCTTGCACATACAATTGCAGACTTGGCTTAGTCGTTATATGTTTCCACTGAGTGCGTTTGCATCCGGTTGTCTCTCCGTCGGTATGTTTGCTTGCTTGTGTGTATTTTGGTTTGTTGTTTTCGTGTGTGTGGCATCAATGACTGTGTACTCATGTATCTATGCTTCTGCTTCAAGGATAGCCTCCGATATCTGGAAGTTTAGTTGCGAGAGGGTTAGAGGGTCCAGAATGAAGAGGCCACCTTTGCACATTGCAAAGTCGGCTCCTTGTTCGGTGCGCTTGCAAGCGAGAGACTCAATATGCGGACACGTCAGCGCAATCTCCTCGCTTGAGAGAGCAAGGTTACGGAGCTGCGATTGGTGCTGTCCGCTGGCCTTTGGCCACCGTTCTGCTTCAGGCATTCAGGGCTGAAGTCTCGGGGCACTTATAATCCAGCACTTGACACTGCTAGCGCCTCGAAGCATTGCTACGGGCCTAATTTCATACCTTAGCTACGGCAGTTGTGGGGAAGACAACCAACTATTCCAGCCAGCTCAGACTTCTTAGCTCTATGGCATTCGCCTTCGACCGAGCTGCTGAACAACCTGAGGATTTTGACCGTGCGGTGGTTCGGGTTAGTGAAGTGCATTAAGGACCTCTTGTTGATGCCCTATGACATGGCCAGAGACTGCATCATGTCACGTTTTTTGAGCTCGCCCTCAAGTTGACGAGGACATGACCGCAGCACGGCGCGAAGCCCGGGATAGCTGGAGCATCGCACCCAAGGGCTAAGGTGGTGGAGGTGGTGGTGTGAGTGCAGGTGCTGGTGGTGGGTTTCAGGCTTGGAATGCTCGCTATCATGTTGAGGGCCTCGGAACACTGCATCTAACAGACATGCTGGGTCTCATGATCAGGGCGTCGGGAAAGTGGATAAATAGTGCTTGACTGTACCTTTCAGGAGGCAGAAGAAACCGCACGATTTGTGAATTTCGGTGTCAAAACCCAGTGGTTTGGTGCAGGAAAGACAGGTCGAAGCCCGCACTGGATCCCAATGGCTCGAATCAGGCAATCCGATCCATTCGAAATTACGCAGTCGGACTCGTAGCCTTTATAGAGATTGCGAAGATGAGTCTGGAGCCTCTCAGAGCTTGCGATGTTTTTTGGACCTCATCGGTTATGACGCATTGAAAGCCAACTTGGCTGGGCTTTTCCCTGGTCGGGGTTGCCTCGGCCACCATTATCATTGTTCTTGGTAGGGCATGACCAAACAGCAACATCCTCAAAGTACACGGTCCTAACTTTCAACAAGCCAGTCGGAAAACCAGACGGTCCAAACCATGCTGCGTTGCCCGTTCGGCTCAGCAAAGGGCGCGAGTAACATGCGGAGATCCTCAGACCAGTCGCTTTGCAGCTCAAAGTCGCGACAATCGGTGTCTTTTCTATACCTCCACGCGGTTTGGACGATGGTATTTGCAAGAGCATCATGTTGCTTGCTTCCTATCGGGGCCAAAATCAAAACAGTAGGTAAGATACCTCCTGTCTCGTTACATTATCTTCCTGGGGCTTGGAAAATCGAGGCTTTGAAGAGGCCTGGCTGCTTCACCCTCAGCCTCCAAGTATACAAACACTACTTTTGGTCTCCAATAACAGTGCATTCGTTGTACCTACTTTGGGCTATTTGGAGCCCCAGAAAGCTGCAGATCTCTTGGCCTCGCACCGACGCAGCCGCAATGGCCGACGCCCCCGCCGACCTCACTCTGAAGGATGGCCTTCCCGAGGCCACGGAAAGAAACTAGGGTGCGTGCTGGCAGGGGGCCACCACCAACCCCAAACCCTAATAGGTTCGTCCTTGCCCGCCGGGAGGCGACAAACACTTCATCTTGCAACGCAAACTACAAATCTCGTTCAGCTGCTGGGCGTAGGGGTTAGAGAGTCGATTCGGGCGCGATGGGCGTGCGGAATCATGCAATGCAGTGTAAGCAAATATCGAAAGTATATAAGTATTTATGCCGGTAGGTCATACATGCATGCCGAGTTAAGCCCCATCATAGCTTTGTTTGGCGATTGGATCAACAGCATTTGTTTCGTGCATTGGTCGCCCGTTTGCGGTCTTTGCCTTGGTGCGGTCCAGGTGTTTCTGGCCTCAATGGGAGGAATTATAGTCGTGAGCTGCAGCAGCTAGACTCTAGACTCTAGGCGACATGTCATAGATGCAGTTTAGGTTTAGGCTGTATCAAAGTCATAGCTAGCATGTGGCACCACCTGTTTTTCAGCATTGGCATTTAGTGGCATTTGTGATATGATGGTCACAAGAAGCGGTGGTGGTGGTGCTGCTGGTGGTGGTGGTGGTGGTGGCGGTGGTGGGTCATTTGGATGCACTCTTTTTGCACACCTGTCTCTTTTCTTTGCAGTGGCTCCTGCAGCAGCAGCAGCAGCAGCATCCGTCGGTCAGCACGTTTGTGGCTTGGACCTTCAAGCCTTCCACTGGGATGACTATTACCTTTACTGCAACAACTTCTACTGATACGCCTGTACTACCTCGCCACTGCGCTACCGTTGCAACAGCAACAACAACAGCAGTGTTGACAGTTTCTGCTTTTTGCCTTCAGATTTGTTCTTGTCCATGCTAAGTGTTGCAATGTTCTCTTGTGGCATGGATCTGAAAGGTGGAGACTGACCTGGGATCTCCAGCTGGCGAGGGCAGAGGACGGCATTGAGTTCAGGTTTTGGGGGGTGTCCGTCGACCCTAAATCCCTAAACCCTAAACCCCGCGGACTAAACCCTATAGACCCTGTTGAGGAGCCTCGGCCCGAAGTCTTGTGCCAGGGATGCCGTCACGAAGTGGATGCCATATGGCTCGTGCTGTCGAAAGGCATGTTGAACAAAGACACCAGTTCACAGTTCTTAACGCTAAATCCTGGACCGAGTGGTGAGAATGTAGATCCTGAATCGTATTCACGTGGCTTGCGGCTTAAGATATCATCTGTGCGCAGCAGTACTGCATCGGTTAGTGGTGAGTGCTAGCACCGCAAATTGTCATTACCGTGGCACGCCGTCAGCAGAAGCGGACTTGTCAGGCAGGCCAGATTCCACATGTCGCACTTTCTTTATAGACTCGTCCGGCTGCGACAGCTGGGCCTTCCGGCACAGTCTCGGAACTGCTGTGTAGATGGATTCTTTCTCCATCCTACGCCCTCGGGCAGCCATGCCATTTGTTTACGAAACAAGAAGTTGCAGCTATGCACCTGGGGCTTGTTCCGATCAGAGGAGGTCCTCAGTACAACAAGCTATCCCAACAGGTCCTAAAGCTTTCAAGAAAAAGTCAGAAAAGGGAGCTATCGTGGAACAGACCCCAATTTAAGAAGATTCGGCTCGCGGGGTCTTTGGATGCCTTACTTGAAGCAGTTCTGGCTCTTGCAGAAGCAGTTGAAGCTACTTCATGTCTACTTCAAGTTTCATGGGCTAAGCATAAAAGTTCAGTGTCATTTTTGAGCTCAGAATGCTGGCTATACTGTAGCTACAGAAGCCCTTGCAAGCACCGAAGATCTGAACATGCAAGTTTCCAGCTCCTCGGGTTTTTTCGATTTCTAAAGTTTCGCTGTTTTGGGCGGCTGGAGCGATAGCATCTCTGGTTCTGGAACGCTGTAGCGTGCCCCAAAGCTGCACCAGCGGCGAAATGCTGTTTCAGCGGTACTGCTTCAGGGACGTGCAGCAACTTTGAAGTCGAAGTAGGGTGTTCCTCTCTCGCTTTAGGGTTCATAGGGCTTAATACGTTCCACTTCAAGGCATGCTTCTGCTTCACAAGGGTCCTCCTTCGTAGTGAAAGGTTTTCCCTCCCGTAGTGCATGCCACCCGTTCAGTAGTCCAGGTGAAGCCGCAGCCTCTGAGGGGTAATATTGTATTTAAAATATATAGCATATAGTATAACAATATAGTAAAACGTAAGGAAACATGTGACATTTTTCTTGAAGTTTCCAGCTCCGCAAATGTCCTTTCTAGTTGAAGGGTTTCACTGCCGGTCAAAAGTTCACAGAGTTGGCATATCCGGTGCTGGAAGGCTGTATCGTGCACCAAGGCAGCTGAAAGCTGCTTCCAGTGTTTAAAGAAGTTACGGACACGAGGCAACAGTCTGAGTCGAAACCGGATTTTTTGCTCGTGCGGACTTACTGGCATACCCCACGCAGTGTTATGCAGCCAATGTGCAAGGTAGCTGGTTTGTTGTTGTTGGCTCCGAATGCGTGCCCTCATATCACACAGAGGCTGGGGTCGCTTGCCGTTGAGTCCCCTCTGACTGCTGACGTATCGACTGCGGCCTTGGGTGAATGCTGGGCTTGCGATGTGGAGCGAAATCAACTAAGTTGACCTGCGGAGGACTCGGCATGGATGATGCCGATTACCCGGATGCTCCGAGCTACCTGGCCGCTGTAGGTTTTAGGGTTCAGGGTTTGCGGTTCGGGTCTTGAGGTTCAAGGTTAAGGGTTTATGGCCATGCAAATTGTCTCCCCTTCTAGACCAAGCCAAGAAGCAGGCCCAACACAACCCCGAACCAAGTCTGGACTGAAACCTGAACAAATAAAGCGTCATCGTGTTCATCGTATAGCAGGGCTTCGACTGCTCCCGAGGCTTGTGGGGTTTAAACCAGCCCTCTCGGAGTCGAAGCCATGGGGCTTGGGTTCGGGGCTTAGGATTTGGGTTGTAGGGTTAATGGTCTAGGGTGTAGGGTCAAAACCCGAAAACACTTCATAAGTGTAAACAGAATCGGTGCCTTGTTAGCGACAGCACACCGCAAATGTCACCGCACTAATATATGTAAGTGTATGTGTATATGTATATATGTAAATGTAATTGCGTATCGTCGCAGGAGTATGGATGTGGATACGGAAATGGATACATGTTTATGTATAGATGTATGTGTATGTGTATATGTACATAAAAAAGATATATATATATATATACACACACACACACATATATATATATATATACACCTGTACGGTTTATGATGTTGATTTTCCGTTTGGCATATATCATATATCCCATGATCTCAGTATGTTTGCATTTGTGCATGTTGTTGACATCTCTGTTCATGTAGAGTTTGGTTTGTTGTTTTGTCTTACAGTTATTTCTGTGTCTTTTTTGGTGAATTGAGGGTGTACACATACATGTATGCACACATATATGCACCTGACTGCTCTTCGCGACAGATCCAGAAAGTCTTTACAGTGCTGCATGAAGACTTCGCTTGCAGAAATGGTGCTGAGGTCCTTTAAACCGTCAACCCCAAACCTAAACCCTTGCACCGAGGACCTGATGCATCTAGCCATGACATCGCAGGCAGCTCGGGACGATTGTTTGGTGTAGGAGACTGCTGCGGGCATGTACGATAGAAGCCGGCAGAGTTACATCATTCCGTAGGGCTCCTTTGTATGATTCTACTGTCATCTACCCACAACCCAGTTCTAGTTATTCAGAGAAGCAGCACTACAGATAAGAGGGTGAGGACGAAAGGCGGCAGTAAGTCGCACGAGCCTCCGGAGGCAGGCGGCAAAGTTGAGACGAGTTACAAAAGTAAGGGTGTGCAACGGATGCTGCACAACTTGTGAGATGTGTCAGGCTGATGTTTGCAACAACAGCCGTGACATGTGTAGCTTGCCATGGGTGAATCTAAATGCTTGTGTTGCAATTGTCGCTCGCCATGCAAGCACGTGGAGATCCGTATGACAACCCCCAAGTACGTGCCTTAAGCTGC